TTGAAGCTTACTTGCCATATTTCATTGGATTTGGTGCTCCGCTTACATTTGTTTCGACTCTAAGTAACAACTTTTTGCTTAATGGAAGTGTTTTTGGCACTTTCTTCCCTTTATTCATAATTAGCTCTTATAAAGTGAGTTCTCGTTTTATGGTTTCATTTGCTTGTATCTAGGATTCTCGAAGTGCTATTTTCATGGCTTTTCTTCCAGGCTTCCTGGGAGAAACCGAAGGATATTCGACGACCAATTCCAGTGCTACATATTTTTACACCATCTCGTCTAGTCACAGATGGTTTTATAAACTTCTTCTCAGGAATGGTAGTTCCTCAGCGTAACAATCACTGACATTTCTGGAGTCAACGTGGCTGGTCCACTATTGCTGTTAATAATGTATATACCGTTCTATGGGTAGTGCCATCTGTATAGATTTTTTTTGCTCAAGAACATATTTGTATAAAGATTTTTCCGCTCATATCTCTATAATTTCGTAGTGGTTTTCTTCCAGTTATTTCTACCGTCTAGCACTAATCTTATGGTCCTGATATTGTTTTCTGTTTTTCTTACGCATGTTGCTTGAGGGATGTCGCAACCCGGAATAGAAGGGCTTGCGGTGGGCCTCAACAAAGGCCATAAGGTGACCAAGATCGACCGTAAACCACGTCAAAATCGTCACATTGGAGCATGCAGCAAGAAGTCGAAGGTAATTTTTTCAAATTTTTGAGAGATGGGATGAGATGCTATCTTTGAGTGGAGGAATATTAGTAGATTCTGCGATGTATTAAGTTTTCCCTCGAATTTGTATTATTACTGTAGACTTTGATTTAGATTGTCCGCGAGCTCGTTCGTGAGATCACTGGCTTTGCGCCTTACGAAAGGCGTGTACTCGAGTTGCTACGTATTTCTAAGGATAAGCGAGCATTAAAATTCCTGAAGAAACGCGTGGGAACACACCTTCGTGCCAAAAAGAAGCGTGAGGATCTTCAGGGCGTCATTGTCGCTCAACGTAAACATCACAAGTAAAATTGTTGTTGTTGTTATTATTCATAAATGTTTGATATTTCGACCTCATTTTATTTTTTTATATTGGATTTTCGTGTCATATCCTAGAAAATGATTTAAGCATATATATATACATATATACATATATATATATATATATATATATA